GGGAGGTTGTAATTCAAGTTTTGACTTCCTTTTTAGTGTTAGAGCTTTGTCAGAGGCAGACTGGGTGGGGTTTGGATGAGGGTTTGAGGAGACACTAAAACTGGGTTTTAGAGATAAACAGGTTAAATCAATTTAGAGGCGGTCATTCAATTAATAAACCAGCAAGGAATAAAAATTAGTGAGTTTTTTTGATAACACATTCAGGGATTGGAGGTGTTGCTAAGCTATTGCCTCTTGCTTCTCCCTGTCCCTCATATTTCTCATCCTATGAAGCCTCCAGCTCTGGCTTTGTCTAGAACTTCCTTGGTATCTCCATGCTGAATCTGCCCAGAGTGACTGAATGGCCTTAGGTTACAAATGGATTTCCTCTTCAAGCATCTTCTGTCTTAGACTGGCATAATTACAAATCATATTTTGGATGGATGCACAAAAATACAAGGGGAAGAATGTTTTCAGTCTTCATGGTGTCCCAAATAAGCCAAATAGCTTAATCTTTCACCAGTGCACAGGCAGAGTAGCAGGTTCCCTTGTCTCTGAAATGGGAGTCAGGGTAAATTCCTGTTCCCTGCGACACTCTGACCTCCCTACTTTGTGTCAGAAGCTGTCTTATGTTTCTAAATCTCCTGATCTCTTCTGCTGTTGTTTCTCCATCTGAATTACAGGGATTAATCTACTTCTTTGGTGTGTCCCATCATGCAGTTCTGTAGTGCTGAAGTTTACCTCAGAAGATACACTACAGCATTCTTTCTTTTCACTTGTTCCCCGTCATTCTTGTTTCTCTTTACCTTGACTGAAGATTATGGGACTTGTTAAGGTGAAGGGGTTTTTTTGGGTGTGGAAGCCCATGAAAATAATTGTCTTTGCAACAGAGTAGTCTGGGAAGGAGTTGTCAGACCTGGAGGTCCAGGTTCTTGGTGCAGCTGCTAGGAGAGGAGAGGAGGCTCTGCACAGTGGGATCTGATTACTTACCTGGAGGGGTGGTGCTTGGTCCTCTTCCTCCCATCGCTGTCTTGGGGTGTTGAACCTGGAGCAGCAGTTGGGGAGGATTTTTTTGAACAGTAAATTATTGGATGCAGTAACTGTATTTGTCAGGCAAAACCTTGAGGGAAAGGCCTAAAGCTGTTCTGGTTTGTTCAGGAGCAGGTCTTGCCCAGCCCGCTTTCCACAACACCTTTCTATTTCATGTGGTCCAATATTAGCATTTATTACAGAATCACAGGATGGCTTGGGTGGGAAGGGCCCTTAAAGCTCATCCAGTTCCACCCCTGCCATGGGCAGGGACACCTTCCACTACCCCAGGGTGCTCCAAGCCCTGTCCAACCTGGCCTTGGGACACTTCCAGGTGTGGGCATCCACAGCTTCTCTGGGCAGCCTGTGCCAGGATAACGGGATCACAGCCCAGGTGAGCCTTTACAGCTCTGTGGTTCAACACCCATTCACAGATCATGACCTGTGTGCTTCAGTCCAGTGCCCCAAACGAGCTGTTCCTTCACCCATGGTAGGGATTTCTTGGCAGGACAGGTGAAGGACCCCGCTGTGACCCAGAAGGGGAGGGCTCAGGTGACATTAGTGTGTGTGTGTATGTGTGTGTGTACATGGAGCACCCCAGCCCCGGGGTGCAGCTGCAGCAGGAAGTTTCTGTAACAAACTCAAAACCTAAAAACCGCACACCTGCCTCGCTGTGTGAGGGCAGAGAAATTCAGATCCAGCTTTTATAATCCTGTAAAGGGACAGAGAAGGTCAGGGACCGGCGGTGTGGGGCGAGAGCAGCCCCAGCAGTGCTCCAGGACTAAAGGGCCGTTTCCTCCCTCTGCAGTGGTGCTGGCTCTGGCCGCGGCGCTCGGAGCCCTGTGCCTGGCCACGCGCAAGGTCCGCACCGTGCTGTGGTGTGCCTTCCAGATGACCCTGCCCAAACCCTCGGCTGGCAGACGGGCTCGGGAGAGACTTCCTCAGGAGGGGGCAGCGCCCGAAGAGAAACGAGCCGAGACCCCCCCGGCTGCGGCCGCGGCCCCGCGAGGGCCCAGGGAAGGGGGGACAGAGGGAGCCCCGGGGCCGTGCACGGACCTGCTCCGCAGTGTGTATGAGAGAGGAGACATGAATTCCTCGTAATTTTTGGTTCTCTTTAGTTACTTCAAAGTTTCAAGTGCTAAAGTTCATATTTAAAGCTATATCTTGATGAGAAGTGAGATTTGCCTTAAGGGCTCTCAGGTTAAGCTGTTAACGTGATGGGCAGGGTCAGAATGTTGTAAAGCCAAACTGGTGAATGTTAACTTAAAAAAATAATCAGACTAATTCATTAACAGCCAAGATATTATTTAACTCCTGCGGGTGAAGCCTGGTGTCCAACTCTCCCCATAACTCCTTTTAGTTTTGCTTTAGGAAATAGGTTTTTAAATAATGATTCTTAAAGACTGTGGTGTGACGGGGTGTGAGGTTGGTGTCAGATCAGATTGTGATGTAAAATGGTTTCCTTATTGAACTAAAACCTGGAAACAGAAAGAAAAAAGGCTAGAAATACCCAATATTCATGTAAAACTAGATATTTAAAATACAAATATTTATGAATTTGAGATTTTAAAGTCTATGTTTGGGAAAGGCAATATGCACCAGGTGCCACTAAATTACCAGTAGAGCATAATTGCTGTGTGAAACCATGAATTTAGTGAATGTGTTCAGATATTTGGAATGCTCTTGGGAACAAATGAACTACTGTTGTAAAGTATTTAAGCATAATCAAACTACGACAGGCAGACAGGATTGTCCTGCAGAGCTGTGAAGGAGCTTCAATAATGAGCGTTGTTTTTAATTTAACTTCAGAAAGGGTCGTGCCAGGTTCTGAAATTTGGATTTTCTTAAAGTTACTAGTTTGGTTTGAAATTTGATTGTCAACTTCTAGACTTCTTAGTTCCCTTCTGCATTTGGGCATCTCCCAGCAGTGGTGTTTGCTTGCAGCTCTCAGTCTTTAGGAGCAGGAGTGATGGATTCACCAGCACCCAATGCTGGTGCTCAGGACAGAGTGGCCCTGGGAAACTCACTTTAACAGTGGGTTAAAGTTACTGAGCTGACCATACCTGCACACCCTGGTACCCACATGGCTCTGTCCTTCCTGCTGCTGGGAATGCTGATATGCAGAAGGGATGATGGCATTAGATAAATTGTCATTAGATGATGTGCAGAAACGACTGAGAAAGGCTCAGCAGAAGGTGGGGTGTGATCACGGCAACGACAGAGAAGTGCTGCCGGGTGAGAGGGGCAGAACAAGCACAGCTTCCTAACAGCCACTGCACTGGGGGTTGTTCAGTTTGACCCAGGCTGTGTTGATGTTAAAGCAAAACTGACTGTGCTGACTGGAGTTGTCTATAAGAAATAAATTCATTTTTGTTGAAGAGCTTTCTGTTCTGCAAGTGTGTTTCCAGGCCAGGCTCCTCGAGCCTGAACCGGTACCAGGGGGAAGCATTCGGTCTGTTATGGACTGTGTTCAGGAAAAGCAAAGGGGATGCTGAAATGCCTCTCTGGAGACAGCTCTGACCATAACACTGGACATGCCAAGGGAGCCAGAGTAGGGAATGCTTCTTCCCTGCAAATGTCTCAGCTCCAAGCTCTGCACTGCCAGGGAAGGCTGATGCAGCAATTCTGTCCTCTGCACTGGGAATCTTAGGGGCGAGTCCAGAGTATTCCTGCTCTATAAATAACTCTGTGCTGTCAGTGCCAGCTGTGCACTGCTGACTGTCCTGAATGGAGCAGCAGTGGCTGGAGCTCCAGAAGCTGAGTTGCTGCCTGCCTGGGCACCTGATCCATGGCACAAACTGCTGGCATGGGAAGGGGTGAGCCCACAGTCCTGGGGGGCAGGGGCAGGACTGTGGGGTGAGCAGAGGGGGCAGCCCTGCAGACTCATGGGGTGGGAAGCCTCAGCTCACTTCAAGTTTCCAACAGCAATGAGGGTTTTTAAGACCACTGGTGCTGCTCCTGGCCATGGTTCCACTCTGCCCCAGGACAGCTGCTGGATGCCAAAGGGCCGGATTTGTCCTTGCTCCTGGTCCCTGTCCCTGACAGGGCCTTGATTTAGCCAGACAGACATCACAGCCTGGCCCAGCCCTGTGCCTGGCTGGGAGTGCAGGGGACAGTGGTGCCTGCAGAGGGATCTGCAGGGCTGTGGGAGCCAGTTCCCACCGTGTGTGTGATTGTGCCCTTCTTGCATCCTTGCTGACTCCTATGGATGTGCACACACGGTGCAGCTGTTCCTGGACAGGCTTTGGAGCAGAGCAGTGCTTCCCCTGAAGAGGTGAATGCTGCCCTTCCCTGGACCCTCACAATCAAAGGTCTCAGGAGGCCATGACAGGCTCAGGTGGGCTGTGCCTATGCAGGTAGGCAGCCCTAGCCCTGAGCTTGCATTTTCCTTGGAAGCCAAGGGCTGAGCAGTTCAGTGCCAGGTCACAGAGCTCTGGGAAAAGCCACTTCAGCTGACAAGGAGGGGCAGCAGCTGCTGCCAGAGCAAGAGGCATGCCAGTAGGAGGTGAGATTGCCCCTGCTTCCAGCCTCCTGAGCCCTGCAGGTGGCCAGGGCTGCCTCAGGCAGAGCCAGTGCCTTGCCCAGCCTCAGCCCAGGGCTGGTGCACAGGGCTCTAGGGCACCAGAATGTGAGGGCTGGCCCGTGGAGCTGGGCCTGAGTGACACCCTCTCCCTCAAGAGCTGCTCCCTGCCCTGTTCCACCGCAGTCCCACACCCTGGCAGCTGCCTGAGCCACCTGAAATTCCAACCAGGAATGGCTGCAGTGCACCAGGCCAGGTTGGGAAGAGAGCCCTGGGGAGCAGTACAGCTGGGTCAGCTCCCAGGAAAGAGGGCACCACAGCCCTGAGAAACAAGGCATGAATGAAGCTGCATCTGCACCAAGGCAGCAACAGGCAAGCCTTCAGAAATGCTGCTGGGCAAGGGGCCAGCAAGGACACGGGACACACCACTGGCACTGCCATCATGAATGGCAACATCACTCACAGGAACCCATTTTTTGTCAATCAAGATTTAATACTCAAGTCCAAAGACAAAGCAGCTGGAGACTCACACACACACAGCAGCAGCAGCTTGAGGGAAGGCCTGGCCCTGGAGTCAGAGCAGTGCTGAAAGCGGTGCTGGGTCGGGCACCTGGGAGTGCAGGAGCACAGGAGCTCAGCACAGGTCACCTCACAGCAAACACCTGGAGCATGCTGCAGCACAGAGCCCAGGCACACTTGTTCCTCCCACAGCCCCTCCTTCTCCCTCAGTTCACAGGATTAGTGTTCTCCTTCCTCAGTGGGCAACACCATCACAAAAAGGCTGGAGCAGCAGGGATGAGCCCTCTGGGGGGAGGAGGAGCATTCAGGAGGAGCACTGCACTTCCTGAAGGCAGCTGTGCCCAATGGGCAGTGACCCCACTGCATCCCTGCCTCACCCTGCTTGTGCTAAAGCAGCTGCAGAGCTTCACCCTAGCAACAGCCATGGAAGTAACAGTCCATGTTCACCCCACAGAACATCAGGGAGCACCATTTTCCAGCTCTCTAGAGTCTTAAAACTGCATTAGGAGTGTGGTTTGCTCCTGCTGAGGCCAATGCTCCTGCCTGGGCAGTGTTTCCCTCACTCACAGTCCATGGGTGATGCAGTCACATCACTGCAGCTCACCTCTGTTTCACACATCTCACTCCTCTGCTGCAGCCCAGCACTGCCCTGTGCTGAGCTCAGCTCCAGTCCTGCTCACCAGCCCAGCATGAGCAGGATGGAGTGTTGGCCTCAGCAGTGCAAACACAGTGATTTGCAAAGACATTTTCAAGGCTTGTGTCAGTGAATTCATGTGTGCCCCAGGGCAGCATGTCCTGGCTAGTGGCAGGACAGGCTCAGCTCAAACCACAGCCAGTGCAGGGGCTGCTCCTACACCATGCTCTGCTCCCAGATGGTCAGAAGTAAAAATGGATCAATTTAACAACACAGACATAATCACTTCACCCTTCTTTGGTACAGACACTGGCCATGAGCACTGACTGGGACACTGATACCACAAGCACAGGGCACACTGAGTCCAGGAGCTGCTCAGAGATTCTGTTCTGCTATGTAACAAAACAAAACAAAAAAAAAAAAGAAAAACAAAGGCACCACTTTCCAAGAACTGCTCCCAGCCACGTGCCTGGAATTCTTGCTGCTTTTTAAACACACACCGTATTCAGAATTAATTTTATCCTTTGCGAGTCCAACTGGAAATCACCAGCTACCGCTTCCGCTCGCCTTTCTGTGTTCGTTTCTTCTCCTTCTCCTTCCGCTCCTGCTTGGCCAGCTTGTCCTTCTCCCGCTGCAGTTTATCCTGCTCTTTCTTCTTCTGGAACTCGTCCCGCAGCAGCTCCCGCTCCAGCTTCCTGGCGTTCAGCACATCCTCCACGTTGGTGTTTCGGAACAGCGCTGGGGCGGGCTAAGGGCTGACAACGCTCTGGCTGAGGTCACCTGGGACAGTGCCTGGGCACATGGGAAGTTTGTTCTACCTCCCCTCTCACCTTCTGACTCCCTGCTTCCTCACCAGGCAGGTAAGGAACTGGGGAATGAGGAATGCAGAAAGGAGAAGGAATCTCTGGTTGCTTTTCCAGAAAGAAAAGTTGGGTTGAAAAAACACCCACTCCTAGAGAAGGAAGGGTCTGGAGCACAAGTCCAGTGAGGAGTGGCAGAGGGAGCTGGGGGGGCTCAGCCTGGAGAAAAGGAGGCTCAGCGGGGACCTTCTCACTCTCCACAAGTCCCTGACAGGAGGGGACAGCCAGGTGGGGGTCAGGCTCTGCTCCCAGGGAACAGGGACAGGGCAAGAGGAAACAGCCTCAAGTTATGACAGGAGAGGTTTAGGTTGGATATTGGAAAAACTGCTTCATGGAAAGGGTGGTCAGGCATTGGCACTTGGGGACAGAGGTTAGTGGTGGCCTTGGCAGTGATGGGGGAATGGTTGGACTCAATCCCAGAGGGCTTTTCCAACATCAGCGATTCTGTTTTTTCCTGGAAAAATGAGGTTGCCTACTGGATCTTAAGACTGATGTGCAAAAATACATGTCAAACCTCTACAAACCTGAAAGGGAGCAAACACACAGGGCACAGCCTCGAGTAGGTTCACTGCAGCTCTGTGTGACATGTCTGAACAGATACATACATGTACATACATGTGTGTTTGTGCAGACAGGTACATACATACCTGTCCCTAATGTACGGACAAGAATAACTTAGGTTTCATATTTAATTATGTGATAAAACCTGCTTCCATCTTAAATTTGCCAGCTGGGAGCTCAAGGATGGTCCCAATTCTGAGACAGACACGGGCCCATTGGTCCTGCCCACCCTGAGTGCTCAGCTGCACCATGGCCTGCCAAGCTTCATTCCTGACACGATTTCCCTCTGTGGACACCACTTAACATCAGCCTGATGTTCTGGGAGCATTGTCCTTATCATTGAGCACGTTCTATGAAGCTGCAAAAAGGTGGAAGAGGGAAAGAGGGGAGGAGAAGGAAATGAACGGCAGGGTTGGTGTGAGCGCTGTGCAGAGCACACAGACTGTCCCTGTCACTGTGAGCAAGGTCAGGGTACACACAGAGAAAAAACAATCCCCAAGCTTAAAAGGTGGCCCTACAGAAACAGGGAGACCAGCACAGGGAGGGAAGGATGGGAAACTCACCATGGAGGCTGCCTGCCTGACAAGCAGCCTGAGTCACCAGGAATTCAAAGGATACATTTTTCTGATCCAATATTTACAGCTGTCATCAATCCATCCTGTTCATCCCCACCAGTGAGAGAATTAAGGAAACATAGACATCAGCAATGATCTCGTGTTCTCTCTCCAGCCACACTGGACTCAAGTAACAGCCTTATAAAGCCAGGAAGAAGCAGCTGGACTCTCACAGACAAGTAACAGCCTTATAAAGCCAGGAAGAAGCAGCTGGACTCTCACAGACCAGGTATGCACAGCTCCTGCTGCTCCAGGGCCAGATACAGTTGCCTACAGTTCACTCTGCTGGGCAGGGAAGGGCTCATTCTTCAGCACCACAAAGAGTTAACTTCTAACCCTCCCACTCCACACACTCTCTCTGTAAAGGATTATTTCAGCAGATTTCTCCTGGGAAAGCAAGAGAGATCAGCACCAGCTGCTGAGGGATGGGGGCATTCACTGCTCTCCTGCCACACACCTGGGCTGGGCAAAGAGCCACAGCCACGTGCTGCTGGGGACAAACACCCTCCCAGGAGCATCTGCCTGCAGCACTCCACAAACAAGGAGCTTCCATGCTTTGTCCATGGCAGTTATTTTATTGAAGGAAGACTGCAAAGCTTCCCCAGCTCTCCCCAGGGCCCTGCAGAGCTGGGAGGGCGTTGTTTGAGGAGGTTTAGAGCAGGTGATGTCCCTCACAGCCCCCAGCAGTGCAGGAAAAGGATATTCCTCCTCGTCAGTCACGTTGGCATACTGGGCCAGGAGCGCGGCCTTCCTCTGCTTCTCCTCCTGAGACACCTCCTTGGGCTTCACCACTATCCTGGCCTGCTTCTCCATCATGCTGGCGATGGCCTGGACCTCATCTGGCAGGAGAGGAGTGACAGTGTCAGCCCAGGCCACAGACAGAGCCACCGAGCCCCTGGTGTCACTCTCCCTCTGCAGCTCCACCCAGCCCGTGCCCTGCAGGGGAAATGCGCCCACCGGCCCCTGGTGTCACTCACTGCCTGCCCCCTCTGCAGCTCCACCCAGCCCGTGCCCTGCAGGGGAAATGCGCCCACCCAAAGGGAGATGTCTCACCCAAAAACACCCCCTGAGCTTTTCCCAAGGGCACTAGTGGTGATGTCAAAGCCAGCTGCTTTGGGGAATTCCAGTTGGGATCTGGGAGAGATGGAGCTGCTGAGGAGCCACCACGGGGCTGGCTAGGGCCAGCATGGGGCTGACACCCTGAGGTGACAGGTGGTGGCACCCTGTGCTTCTCTCTTGGAGGGGAACTCCCTGTGCTGCACCCAGCCATCACCAGACACTGTTATTCCTGAGCAGACACTGTTATCCCTGGAGTAAGGCAAGTCTCACAATGAAACTGGAATCAGTCAGGCTCTGGCTAATGAAAATCCATTTGACTCCAAATCACATTCTCTTTCACTTCAAAACAGCTTAATAAGTTTATTTAAGTATGTACTTAACCCCCATCAAAGAGAAATTCTGAAAACCTGAAGTGAGGGATCAGTTCCATGCTCTCCCCTTCTTTCCAACCAAGAGAGACCAACGGCTGATTTACCTTTTAACACTGAAATTCCATTTCCTAAATAACATCTGGGTTTTGATGGCAATTTTTTTTAGTCTGTTAATCACTTATCCTCAGGACTCTGTTATTCTGAGTGGATACACACTTCAGTGGGGATTTATCCTTTTATGGAACCCCAGTGATATAATTTCACCCTGGAATTCCATGAACCCAGACACACTGTGCTGTCTTTTTATAACAAGAAAAATCCCTGTGGGTGAGCACTGTCAGGAGCAGGAGGAGCCCAGCAGCAGCTCCAACAATCCCAGTCACTTGTCCTCAGGAGGAATTTAATTTATTTAATGCACGGAACAGCATTAACTTTCCCCTGTCCCCAGCCAAAGGCAAGGTCAGGCCAAGAGCAGACTTCCAGGATTTCTGGGGAAAGCCACTGAGCTGCTGAGTGGTGGAGCTACTGTGTCCATGCAGTGGTGAGGCACAGGGGGATGCTGGGGCTGATGCAGTCACCAGGGACTTGCTGCCAGAGCCATTCCCGGGTGACACCAGGCACTGACAATGTGCTGTTTGCAACCAGAGGCAAAATGCAAAGCAAACAAAAAGCAGGACTTAGACCAAAGGGACATTCTATTATCACAATCTCCTGTCAGGTCTGTGCCACTGCAATGTCACTGATCCATGCTTGAACCACAAATCCTCCCAGCTCACAGCTCCACTGCATCCAGAGCCCTGCACAGGGACCAGGACAAACCCCCCACACAGACAGGGCCAGGTCTTGGCTCCCAGCTGAGCACAAGGGATGGACACAGGCACAGTGGGGCTGAGGAAGGAGCAGTGACAGTTTGTCAGCAGCCTCACAGAGCTTCCTCCAACAAACATTTATGGAAAAAAGGGAGAGTTGTAAGGGAAAATGTTGGAAGAGGAAATACAGACGTGAGTGGGGTGAGCAGCAGCAGCAGGGACAGCCCAGCTCTCCACAGGGGCACTGCAGTTGGACAAACCAGCTGCTTTCCAGACTGCCCAGACAGAAGCAGCATGGGTTTTTATACCATAATAGCTGCAGTGCCAGCACTGAGCAGAGACAGCCCTGGATGTGCTGGGAAAGGAGGTTTCTGAAAAAACCACAGAATGGTTCGGGCTGGACCTTAATGACCATCTCATCAGAAAAAAATCCTGTAGAAAAAAAACCACACACAAAAAAACCCACCAAAACCACACCATAAAGAAAACTCCAAACAAAACAAAAACCAACCAAAAAACCAAAACAAACAACCAAAAAAATAACCAAACAACCACCACAAAAAAGACCCAAAAAACAACAGAAGGCAAAAAAAAAACCACAAAAAAAAAAAAAAAAAATCACTTTTCCCCTGCAGGATGATGAACCCAAAGAGCAGCGAATGCTGGGGCAGCCCAAAGTGAAGCTGCTCATCCCCATGCCAGGTGAAAGAGTAACTGAGCAGCAGTGGAGTGAGAGGCAGCTCAGACCTGCAGCCACAGGGCAGCTTTGGTTTAACTCCTACCAGGACAAACACAAAGTTCCCTTTGAGGTGAGGCCCTGCAGGTCACCCCACACTGAGGACCAGGACACAGCACCCCAAGGCACAGCACTCTACCTTCTTTCTCCTCTTTGGAATCAACGACCTGGGAGTCAGACCACCTCTCCACAACCTCCCTGCACACATCATTCAAGAGATCTTCTTCCTAGAAAGGGAAAAGAGACTCCTCAGACTTGGAACAGAGTTGGCTGCTTCAAACAAGCACCAATCAGACAAGAAAAGCAGCAGTTACAAAGGATCTGCACACCCAGCAGTCAGCTCAGGAGCAGCTTTTCACCCCAAATCTGCTGTTAAACACACACGGGACTCTGGTTTCCCTGGAATGACACAAGCACACCTGGTCACTGTGCACATGGACACTCTGACACATGTGGGTTCCTGTCCTGGGTTGACAAGGAAGTGAGTTTTCTTGGGAAGGAAGTTATAGCCAAACAAATCAGTGGTCAGATTTGAATACTGACACCTGGTGTAACCACTGAAGACATGAACACACCTCTGAGAACACAGCGGGTTAAAAGCAGAGAAGTCCCAGAGGACTTTCTCTTTTGTTCTGGTCAGTGAAGAGCTCAGACCTCAAGGGTGGCTGTGCAGGTGCCCCAGCCCTGCCCACACCCACGAGGTCACTGGGGGTCTTGGCTCCCAAAGCCTCCTGCCCTCATCCTCTCTCTTCCTGAGCAAGGCCACAGGGAAGTGACTCAGTGCTACCTCCACACCAAGCTCGCTAAAGGGAATAATTTACATGGGATAAATCACAGGTCAGGGGCAGTGCAGAGCTGGAGCCCCTGTGCTGGTGCTGACAGACCATCACCTCCCACCTGCAGGCACATCCTGGTCCCCCTTGACCTGCCTGGAACATTAAACACAACTTAGAAGTGGCAGTGGGACACATCCCCCTGCTCCAGCAGGGGCTCCTCCAGGGGCTGCAGGGGAATCTGTGCTCCCACGTGGATCTCCAGGGGCGGCAGGTGAATCTGGGCTCCCACGTGGATCTCCAGGGGCGGCAGGTGAATCTGGGCTCCCACGTGGATCTCCAGGGGCGGCAGGTGAATCTGGGCTCCCACGTGGATCTCCAGGGGCGGCAGGTGAATCTGGGCTCCCACGTGGATCTCCAGGGGCGGCAGGTGAATCTGGGCTCCCACGTGGATCTCCAGGGGCGGCAGGTGAATCTGGGCTCCCACGTGGATCTCCAGGGGCGGCAGGTGAATCTGGGCTCCCACGTGGATCTCCAGGGGCTGCAGGGGGATCTCCAGGGGCTGCAGGTGGATCTCTGCTCCCACGTGGATCTCTAGGGGTTGCAGGTGGATCTCTGCTCGCACGTGGATCTCCAGGGGCTGCAGATGAATCTCTGCTCCCACGTGGATCTCTAGGGGGTGCAGGTGGATCTCTGCTCGCACGTGGATCTCCAGGGGCTGCAGATGAATCTCTGCTCCCACGTGGCTCTCCAGGGCTGCAGGGGCACTGCTGCCTCACCATGGTGTCCCCACAGAATCTCAGGAATCCCAGCTGTGGTGCCTGGAGCAGCTCCTGACCCTGCAGAGCTCTCACAGCTTCTCACTCCTGTCTCCAGCTGTGCTCCTGCAGGTGTTTTTTTCCCCTGCTTAAATTTGTTACTTAAAGGAGGTGAATGTCTTGGAGCCCATTGACATTTGCTCCACGGAACACAGGAGAGCCAAACAGGGGGTCACAGAGCTCAGGGGCCACCACCAAGTATTTCAAAAATCCAAGAAATTATATTGGTTTGACATTCAGTAAATACAGAGAAAAATCTAAAAGTACAAGTGAGGTGGATTCTGTCTGGTTTAAAGAGAAGAACTGGACAGAAACAGAACTCAGTTTGAAGTTTCTTCATTAGGAATGGTAGAACATCACTAGTGCAAGACATGATCAGGAGTGAGGAACCATGGACATGACAGCAGACATCACCTGAGATGCCACCTCATTTTAATAGTGTTTGTGAAATACAAACAAGTTAACAAAAAAGTCCCCTGTAATTTGTGTATGGAACTAGAAGAGAGTTGGCAAGAAAACCCCCAAATCACCAAATAAAACACTGTTTCAAAAGTCAGTACAGAAATAAGCACGGAGTCTAAAAATAAAGAAACAAAAAAGACATTAAAAAAGAACAGACTACAAAGAATAATTACAAAGTCTGAGGGTTCAAGAGACAAAAATGTTTTACAGGAATGGCAGAAAAATCAAAGTGAGCCAGAAACTGCAAATGAGGCTCAACTCATGGAGTTGAGCAGCCCTGGACTGGAGGGACATGGGAACCCCACAGCTGCTCAGTCCTGGCAGCAGCACAGAAGGGAACTGAGCACAGAGCAGAAAAGGGGAAACAGCAGAAAACTGGAACATCAGGAAAGGGGAATATCAGTGGCAGGGCCAGCCAACAGTGCTCAGCCAGGACACACTTCCCAGGCACAGTGATGGGGATGGAATGAAGTCTGGTAATTACAGGGAGGTTAATTAACCTCGACTACTGCAGAGCAGCACTTTGCAAAGACATCTGGCTCAGTCCCTCAGGATGCACCCTGTGCTTCTCTGGCTCTTTTAGGCTCAAAGCTGCACTGCCACAGCTGAAGGAGCTCACTGCTGTGCCCCAGGGTGGGGAGGGGACAGGGACAGCAGGGGAGGCTGCTCTGGCTTTTAGGAAACCCTAGAAGTGGAATGGCACAGTCAGTGTGCAGAAGGAATGGTGTCATACCTGTGATAACAAAAAGCTGATTGTACCTGTCCAGTCCCTCTGGGTTTTGTGCTCCCACACTGATATTTTGGGAGGAAACCAGCCAAAATATCTGAGCAGACAGTTCCCAACACCAGCACTACTCATGATTGAACGTTTTACACTATGAAACATCCATTCACGAAAAACCCCGAGACGCAGACACTGTAAAACCACACAAGGAGGATTATCGAAGAGAAATCGCTCCCTGCACTCTCGTGGCTCCCAGGAATCCGGCAGGAGCAGAGGCAAGCCCTGCCCACCCACGGCTGTTCCCGTCCGTCCCGGCCCCAGCGGGATCCGATTCCTGACAGACAACGCGCGTGTGAGCCACGACAGCACCGCCCCACACGCTGCTCCAGAGGATTTACCATTCAGAGTCACCTCTCGGTGCCCACCCGGCACTGCCAGGCCGCCCGGCTGGCGGTGAATCCTGAGCGCTGCACCAAACCAGGGGGGTCCCTGCGCTCCCCACCAACAGCCCCTTCCACAGAGCTTCCATCAGCCCCAGCCTGCCACAAAACCCCCAAACAAGCACCGAAAACCCCGCAAGGCTCGCGGGTGGGGGCAAGAAAAGCCCCCGATGTGGGTGTCCTCCCAGTAAGAGGATAACCCGTCCCGGGAAGGGGCCGATGACCCAGGGCTGCGGGGAGCCGCCCCGCCCGGCCTCCCCGCGGAGGCCGCAGCCCCGGCGCCTTGCGGGCTGCAGGGGAGCTCCGGCGGGAGCACGGCGCGCTCATCGGCGCGGGGCGGACGGCCAGACCCCGCTGGCCGGGGCCGCGGAGGGACCCCCGCCCTTACCAGGCAGGCGGCCAGGACGGCCCGCAGCGCCTCCAGCCGCTCCTCGTCGCTCTCCTCCTCCCGCAGCAGCCCCTCGATGTAGGCGCCGTACACGGCGCGGTCCAGCCCCAGCGCGTCTAGCCGCGCTGCCAGCCAGGCCGGGAACGGCGGCGGCTCCGGGAGCAGCATGGGGCCCGGGATCGCGATCGCCATCGGGGCCGCGCCCGCCCCGCCGGGCGCCGCCATCTTGGGCCTTCAGAGGGAGGAGACGGCGGCCGCGGCGGGACAAAGTTGTGGAGCAGGCGGGAGCGGAGAGAGCGCGGTCGGGGTCGGTGCGGCCGTGCCCGGACGGGAGCGGCGGGGCCGGGCCGGGCGGACAGCCCGGTGTGCTCGGTGTGCCCCGTGAGCGCCCCGCGACACCTGCGCCCTTGGCACAGCTGCTCCTTCCCCCGGAGAGCGGTTTCGCGGGGAGCGGCGCGTCCCTGCGCGGCCGCCGTGCGGGGCGGGGCGGGCGGCGGAATTTAAACGCGGACAAGCGGCGGGCTCCCGGCGGCTCCGCGCCGGGCAGGGCCATGGCCGGCACGGGCTCCCCTCGGCCCCTCCGCGGACAGTCCTTCTACCTGGACCTGCCGAGCGGCCGCAGCGCCCGGGACCTGGCGGAGGCCATCGGGCGGCTCGGTGGGGTGAGCGCGGGCCGGGGCCGTGAGGGGCTGGCGGCGACCCGGGACTGCGGGGGTCTAGGGGGGTGTCTTGGGGCGGCCTCGCCCCTTTTCTGACTCTGCTCATTTTTTAATGTTTCCTGATTTTCTTATTTTTCCGGTGAGCCGGTTCCCTCCTCGCTCCCCCGCAGCCGGAGCCCTGCGGGGCTGGTTGAGTTCGCCCCTGTCCCTCCGGCCCTCGGCGGTGCTGGACTTGGGACCGGCCTTTCCCTCCCATGGTTCCAGCTGTTCTGGCCTTTCCCTCCCATCGTTCCAGCTGTTCTGGCCTTTCCCTCCCATCGTTCCACCTGTTCTGGCCTTTCCCTCCCATGGTTCCAGCTGTTCTGGCCTTTCCCTCCCATCGTTCCAGCTGTTCTGGCCTTTCCCTCCCATCGTTCCAGCTGTTCTGGCCTTTCCCTCCCATTGTTCCAGATGTTCTGGCCTTTCCCTCCCATCGTTCCAGATGTTCCAGGTCCCACCAGTGCTGGAAGGACTGGTGTGTATGTGTTTCATCTCTTCTTCCTTCCTACCCTCTTGCCTGTGGAGCTGCTTGCCCAGTTGTTCCCTTTCTCCTTTATTTTTCTAAAACTGGTTATGTTCTCCTGGGGACAGAACTCCTTTCCCTCCCAACGTTCCAGGTGTTCCCAGCTGCCTGCTCTGGCCAGTGCTGGTGACCACCATGAGAGCAGCTCCCAGGTGGTGGGGAGCAGCTCCCTGCCCATGGAGGTGTTTCCAGTGGTGGTCACTTGGTCCTGGGAGCACTTCCCAAGGGCTGGGAACTGCCTGCTGCTCCTGGGGACACCTCCCAGAGGTGAGAACTGCTTGTGGGGTGATGGGTGCCCCATTGGCCAGTGATAAATGGTTTCCTGGTACTTTTTCCAGGTGGTTGTAACTGGAGTGTGGTTCCTCCTCATCGCTGACAACAGCCTGTGGCAGTTTAATCTTTTAGGGAGGTTGTGGGACTTCCAAATGGAATGCAACATACTGTAAAGTAGGGAAATGCCAACCAAGCTTCTTATCACGGAGCCGTGTGCTTTTATCATGATTTTCCCAGAAAAGCCATCTGGACCCTTTTCCCTGGGAGGCTGTTATTTGGGTGGATCCCTGTGGCATCCTTCATGGCCTCCAGGCTTCCTTGCTGCTGATATTCCTCATCAATTCCTTATCTCCTGTCCCAAAACACTTCAAAAAGTAGCATTGCCCCAGTCCCTCAAGCTGGAGCTGAGCATGGGGTTGTACCTGTTATTCATCTTTCTGCCTCCTTATTGCTCTTGTGCACAGTTTGGTTCTAGCAGTTGCTACTATTTGTTTTCAAGCTCTTTATTCTCTCTGAGATGATCATCTCCTCTAACCTCAAAACTTAAATCCTACAGTGGACACACTTAGTATTGTTGCTGTTAGTAATGAAGGAATTGAATTATTTGTGGGTTAAAAACAATTTATTATTTAGATTAATATTAGTTTTAGATGTTGTGAGATTTTAAAGGAGTAAGTTGTTGGTTATAGTTCAAGAGTAGTTATAAGTTTTTTGTTACAAGACCGTATATAATTTTTTTTAACTAATGGACAGATGTTACAAGGTTTATTTTGCTTTTTAACTCATTGTCTTTACTTAATTTTGTTGTACTGTGGATACTTTTGTCTAGTGGGCTTCTGTTTTACGTGTACACACATGCTTTTATTATAACTTCTCAACTCTTAGCTTATTCTATACAACTACACCTCTACATTATAAACTTTTTACTATCTTATTGATATAGTTTCTCACTTACTGAAGGCATATTATTACTTACAACTATAGCAACATAAGTGTATGATTTTTCTGCTTAATGGCTGTGTATTGTGTTTTTATATTAATCTAAGCTTCTTCTAGAGCTAGAGATCAAATCCTTCAGTGGTTGTGGAAGTTTCTGTTTTCCCGATTCCCACACACACTGTGTAAAATCTTTTAATTTTTGCTGATGCTGTGTCCCTTCAGCCCTGAGCAGGGGTTGGCTGCACTGGCACGTGGGGAAGGTGACTTGCACTCTTTTCCCTTTCGTGAATTGTTCATCCTGAACTTGCTGGTTTCTCTCTGCCCTCCCCTAGATGTGCCACCCACTCTTGGGACATCTCTTTCCTAGCTGGGCATCCTCAAGTCTGAGAACCCCGTGCTCCCAGCAGACAGCTACTCCTCTCTGCAGCTGCTGTGTTACTTGGAAATCACTTTAGACTTTGGCCATCCTTTCTCGTTCCTGTCACACACCATCCTGGCCCTCCCTCTGTGAAGTGAGGTCCTCTGGCAGTGGAGCTCTCATTCCTCTGGCTTCTGTGGGGATACTGACCTACACCACAGCCACTGTCTGTGAAGGCAGCAATATCTGAGCCCAGGCTCTGTGTGTAGCTCAGGACACAGGTCAGGACATCTTGTGGCCCTTGGGCTTGCATGTGGCACCTTGAACTTGGCATGGGGACATGGTGACACTCTGGAGTGTTATTTGGATGGGGAGGTTGTGATTTCCTCTCTTCTGTGCCTGCAGCACAGCCTGCAGTGACCCTTGTGGCACTTCACACCCACTTGGTGGTTTGGGAATCTCCACCTACAGGGATTCTGCAATGGAGCAGAACCAGCTTGTTCAGCAGCTGTGATTTTGGGCTGCCAAGATCTTTATCTTCCTGAGGGGCTTCACACCTCTGCCCCCTGAACAGATTCTGAGAAGCCAAGCCATTAGTTCTTACAATACCATTAGTGTCCCAACTTTTGGGTTTCCACCTCTTCCTTGGCTGGGTAGCTCCTGTGCAAAGGTGTAAATGTTTCATCTCTGCTTCCCTCCTGCCCTATTGTCTGTGGAGCTGCTTGCCCAGTTGTTCCCTTTCTCCTTTATTTTTCTAAAACTGGTTATGCTCTCCGGAGGACAGAACTCCTCCAGGCTGATCCATGATGTCCAGGCCCTTTTCCTCAGATGCTGGGGTTTTTGAAAGCACTGTGAGGAGTGGGTGGTGCTGACAGTCCTGGGTGTCTGGATCTGAATTTCTGGTGACTATTTGCAGTGAGTCTCTGGGGCATCACAGGATCTCCTGGTCAGTATGGAATGACAGAAGGAATGTGATTGCTCCCAGCAGCCTGTGGCTGTGTGGGGGTTGAGCTGGGACAGCAGCTTTGTTCAGCAGGGCTCTGTCAGCTCAGGGTCAGGCACTTGCAGAGCTGCTCTGTTCTGTCTCGCTGCAGGTGACCGAAAGCTTCCTCAGCAAAGAAGTCACCTGCGTGGTGTCCAGCAACAGAGAGGCCAAGCGGGGCCAGGCCAGGGCTCGGGAGGAGAAGCAGAGCAGCCCAGCTGCACAAGGCACAAAATCCACGAGCTCAGTGCCTGCTGCCCCCAAAGGAGCCCCAGCCAGACCTCGCCAGAAGCCACCATACACTGTGAGAGCTACAAAGGTTTTGTCCGAGGGGTCTGGAGGGTAGAATCTGGGGCAGTTTTGGAAGGTGGAGTTGTTCCTGCTCTGAGCAAATATTGTGTGTGTTTTTTTACCTGCTCCCTGGCTGTCCCTATTCATACCCTTGTTCTTTGTCTGCCATCACTGCCTCCTCAAACATGCATGTCACAGCTTTGGGCTGTAATCAAGGAAATCTGGAATGGCAGGGGATGTGGAGGCCTTGGCTGGCTTCTTGAGGGAACAGGCAGAGGTGTGGTGAGAAAGCCAGAGAAATATAGACAGGGAAAACCACTGCAGACTCTGGGTACTCACAGTCACAGGGCAAGGCCCTTGTGTCCTGGGAGGAGATGCATGAGGGCCCCCTGCAGGAAGGGGGTTCTCCTGGTCCCATTTGCCTGTTGGAGCTGGGCTTTCTGCTCACAAATGCTTGTGACCAAACTCCAACATCCCACCTTGAATGTGGTGTCTGCTGAAAGCTGTGACTGGGGAAAGGCAGCTGCCCCAGTCCAGGCCTGGGGAATCTCTGCCAGCTGGAGCTGAACCACCTGCAAGGGGAACCTGAGCTGCAGAGGTTTCTCCCAGTTTTTGTCCCCTGTCCTGGCTCCCAGCACTGTCCCTTGCCTTGTAAAGAGCTGAACCAATCTGCTGAGACTATTGTCCAGTTCCCAGGATGTTCCTAACCCTGGCCAGCATGTTCAGATGCCTGGAGAACAGAAGGCTCAGGGGGACCTGATCTGTCTACAACTCCCTGATAGGAGGTTGTAGCCAGGTGGGGCTTGGTCACTTCTCCTGAGTAACAAATGGCAGGACAAGAGGAAACAGCCTCAAGCTGTGCTGGGCAGATTTAGGTTGGATGTTAGCTAAACTCCTTCATGGAAAGGGTTGTCCAACCCTGGCACAGCTGCCCAGGGCAGTGATGAAGTCCCCATCCCTGCAGGCATTTAAAAACTCTGTGCATGTGGCAGCTGGGGACTTGGGGTCAGTGGTGACCTTGGCTGTACTGGGGAGGAGTTGGACTTGATGACCTTACAGGGCTTTTCCAGCCTGAACAATTCCATGATGCAGCAGGCAGTTTCCAAGCTAAATTGCTGCTCCCTCCTGGCTCACTCTGGAGCCTTCATTTCCCTGCTGGTCGATAATTCCAAGCCTTGGCTGGTGCTGGTGGTGCAGTTGAGTGGTCCTCTCTGCAGTTTGCATTCTCTGAAAGGCTCTCTGCACTGGCAGAGATGAGCCCAGCAGAGTGTGGGGATCCCCAGGGATTGCTGCTCTCCAGCTCTTAGCCATGACCTGTTCATGTCTCCTCTCTCCACAGGCACTGCTGAGCCGGGGCAAGGAGCTGCTGAACAAGGCCATGAAGAACCAGGTGGGCAGCCTTGGATGGG